GCTGAAAGGTTGCAATGTATTATTGCATTTCATTGGCGCTTTAATTACTTTGCATTTCAGCATAATTACCTGGACCGTCAGCCTTATACTCCACAAATCCCACTCTTAAGTAATTGCTTCTCCACCCTCCCTGTTGAGCTGCCTGGTCTGATCTTCCCTTCTGTGGCACATTACATTCCATTTTCGCTCCCTTGCCTATGGTAAAGGGTTTTCTTTCAAAATGTTTTGGAATCAAATCTCAATGTCAGCTACTGCATCTTTTTTTGTTTTGTTTTTTTTTGTTACAATCTCTCATTTAAGGCCACATTGCAAAACCCAGCATCTTCTGGCTCAGACAAGCCAAGTTCTGGGGTTCTTTTGTGGAAACAAACCTGCATTTTTCTCTAAATAAGGTTTAATTCTGAGTTTTAAGCAAAACTGAAGTCTTCATACCAAAAACCTGTTAAACTCTACGGAGCGCTGTACAGTTGTTCCCACCTTCCCCGCTCTATCTCATCTCTTGCAGCTCCTTTGTGCCAACCTTCCCTCTCCCACTTCTGTCCCTGACAGCTCGGGGAAGATCCCGACCTCCCTCCTTTTGCTCTCACTTACAAGGCACTCCGGCTTCTGCTTCACCTCACCTAAAACTGCGCTGGTTCTGCTCACCACACAACCAAAAGCGAGAAGGAAGGCCAATTAATTCCAAAAGAACTCACGCCCCTTACGGCTCAAATTATAAAAATCACTCGAAATAAGACAGGCCAGTGCCGACCTGTCGAAGGCAAGAGAAGAGGATGTAGACTCCAAGCGCGCGGGCGGCAGCAGCTTTTACCAGGGGGTTCTCCCGGTGGTTCAGGCCAAGCAGCAGAGTGACGCACAGGATCTGCCGGTCATTCTGCAACGACAAGCAGCCACAGCCACCAGCTGAAGAGATCTCCGTCCCACCCAGCAAGACAGCTGACAGACACTCTGAAAGACCCCAATAGGTGGAAGCTACAGAAGCAACTGTTCAGAGCACACTCTTTTCTTTAGTTGACCGGCATTTCAGGATGCCACACAGGGAACGGGAATGCTCCCAGCAAATATGATCTTGCTGCTGTTAGAGAAGACCACCAAGGAAACCAAAATATTAACCATCACCCGAAGGCAGAAGGCACGGCCCATCAGAGGTAAACCACACTGGATGGGCTGCCTTTCCCTGTCCTGCTTCACTC